GCTTCCTCTCTCTCCACACACACACACACACACACACACACACACACACACACACACACACACACACACGCAGGCACACCCACACACACGTATGTATATAAATATTCTTTTTCTTTGCCAAACCATTTGAAAGTTGAGAATAGTATGTCCTTTTAGTCTTAAATACTTCTGTGTGTCTTTACTAAGAACAAGGACATTCTTTTCGAGAGTCACAGTAGAGTTCTCAACTTCAGGAAAATGACAGTCTACCATCTGTGATTCAGTTTCGTCATTGGTCCAATGATGTTTTTGACTGCTTTTCCCCCTCACTCCCAGGTCTGACCAGGATCACATATTGCGTTCATTGGTCCTTCACCTGGATCAGGTCCTTATTCCTCCTTTGTCGCCCATGTCATCAGCATTGTTGAAGCATTTAGAGCCCCTATTTATTTTTCGGGTGAGGAGTTAAGACATTTTCGGCATCACACAGCTAGTTACGAAAGAGCCAAGACTAGAAACAGGACATTTGACACACAGAACAGATACGTTTCAAGTTAAATTACTAATATGAAATTTTAAGAGCAAGTATCATTCGCCCTCTGTAAATATTTATTGAGATTTCTTCAACTACACGGTCACTTTAAAATATACGAGATCTCTGAAATATAAAGTGGGCAGTTCGTCACCTGTAGAAACAGTATTTGTTATCCAGAAAAGGCTTAACACTCACACCTATAACTAGCAAGGATAGAAGACCTTTACCTTTGAGTTTTCATTAGAAAAGCACAGCTTTTTGGTGGCTGCCTTTTCTGGCCCAGCAAAACCGAGTACTATTTATACCAATGAAGCAATAGTTTTCAAACCATCTAAACTCAAATAATTGAAAGAGTGAAGATGGAAAATGAAACCAGAAACCGGGAAAAGGCCGACCAAGCCTCACAGCCCCCTTTCCCGGGGCTAGCGTGTGTCCACCGGATGGGTTAAGGGCCAGTGGACGGGCAGCGTGGATGTAGGAGGCCAGGAACACAGCGGCGCCTCGGCCTCTCTGTGAGAAGAGAAATTTTGGGGAGCCGGGAAGGCAAATGTCCAAGGGTTGGTGTGTTCATGCATGTGCCCGCACGCACGACACGCGAGGCTTAGGGACCAAATCGAGTGGGACAGATGTGCTTCTTTTTTCCTCCTTATTCCCATTGAAGGAGGCGAAGAGATGAGGATGCTGAGGCTCATAGAAAGGCTGGTCCTGAAGATGTAACAGCTGCCCCCAGGGCCGGGGGTGCTGCCCGCTTCCGAGCTCCTCTCCACTGCTTGGGCCTCGGGTCCCCTCCGTCCTCCCGCAGAGGATGTGCAGGCAGCACAGGGTTCCCGATCCTCCTGGGCCTGCTCTGCTCTCCAGGCGCATCGTCCTTCTCCATCCAAAGCAGAAAATCCGGCCGACCCAGCAGCCCTCTCCTGGGTGTTGCTGTCATCACATTGTTAATGTCGACTCCAGCAGTAGGAAAGCGGGTGGTGGCGAGATAGCAGGTGTCGTCACAGCAGTGGTAACAGTAATGTGGCGGTCCCCCCCTTATCTGCGGGGGACACATTTCGGGACCCCCAGTGGATGCCTTAAAACCACGGATAGTCCCAAACCCTTAAATACTATGCTTTTCCTATACTGAGACACCTGTGATAACGTTTCATTATAAAACAGGCACAGTCGAAAAGGGGAGGCACATTCTAGGCTAAGCATGGAGTAAGGACACAGATGCCCAAGGACCCAGCAAATCAGAATGGCGAGTTGGCTTTACGTACAGTGTTTCCTTTGACTCCTGAACAAAATGGGTTTGAACTACGTGGATCATCTTATATGCAGATTTTTTTCAGTAAATACTCTAAATGTATTTCCTCTTCCTTATGATTTTTTAAATAACATTTTCTTTTCTCTGGTTTGCTTTATTGTAAGAATACATATATAATATGTATATGTACTCTTACAAAAGAATATATATAATACATATAATGTACAAAATATACATTAATTGAGTGTTTCTGTTATCAGTAAGACTTCTGGTCAACAGAATGCTGTTAGTAGTTAAGGTTTTGGGTAGTCGAAAGTTGTACGCAGATTTTCAACTGCATGGAGGTGAGAAAGGCCTTTTAAAGCACAAAAACCTAGCTATAAAGGAAATAATGGATAGATTTGGTCATAAAAATATTTTTTAAACTGATTTTCCAAAAAAATCATAAATAAGGTTGAAGGAATCTATGTAATGAGAGTTAACATGATTAAAAAGAGTGTTGTCGTCCTTAATATGTAAAGAACACTTAACGAGTCAACAGAAATAGTAAACACCTCAATGGCAAAATGGATAGATACCATGAAAAAATAGTTGACAAAAGTTTAAGTCAAAATAAGAATCATATATATATATATATATGTGTGTATTTCACTTCACAAGAAATAAAAATGTAAGTATAAACTGCGCGATGTTTTAGACAGAGGCTGACAAAATATAATATTGATCAAAATCTGAGGAAGCGGGTTCTCTCATACACTGAGTGCACGACTATAAGTTGGTACACTCTAACGATATACTTCAAAACATAAAAGGAGTATACTCTTTGAATCAGAATTTTAGCTATTCTAAGGAAATAAACAATTCTATCAAAATATCTTCGCAAGTAATTCTCACAGTGCTCTTTAGAATATAATGAAAATTCGGAAACAAATGTCTGTCAGTAAGGGAGTAAATAAATTTTGACATCTATAAATAAATTTCCGTGCAATTATTACATAAGATAGTATACAGCAGAGGTTGGCAAGCTATGGCTCACAGGCTAAATCCCACCCACTGGCCACTTTTGTTAATAAAGTTTTATTGGCAAACAGCAACACCTGTTGATTGATGTATTGTCTGTGGCTGCTTTCGCACTACAGTAGCAGAGTTGAATAGTTGCAGTAGAGACCAAATAGCCCAGAGGCCTGAAATATTTACTGTCTGTCCCCTTATAAAATGTTTGCTGACCCCTGATGTATGTTCATTGACATGGAAAGCTCTCTGTAACTTATTGAGTGATCAAAGCAGGGTACAAAATCGCACGCGTTGTGTGATCCCTGTTACATAAAATCATGTGGTAATGAGGGAGGGGGAAGAAGCACCTTAAAGATTATTTTTAGAAGAGATATCTTAAATTACATTCACCAAAATGTGCTGGGTTCCCTGAGAGTTGTGAAATTTTAGGTGATTTTTATTTACCTCTTTATATTTTTCTATAATTCCTAAGTTTTAGAAAAACATTTGCATAAGGAAAATGGATGAATGGCTATTAGCTTTGTTATATAGAGTTCAGAGTTTGTATAATTGCTTTTTGAATAGAAGAAGATCTCGAACTGATAATTCACAAAAGAGGAGCTAAACCTACTAGCATAGGGAACCATCAGCATTGCGAATAATGCCATTTTTGTTTTGTTTTTCAAATTAACAAATTTTTAAAACCCACTTGATCCTGGTTGGAGTTCATTCTATGAAGCTCTTCTTTAAGAATTTCTAAAAAATTGTTATAATTTTAGAAAATAATTTGGTAAAGACTTAATAGCTTTTAATATATACCTTGAACGTGTATACTTTTAACGGACACCTCGAAACAGTAATTTTACATTGAGGAATATATACTTCTAAAGAAATAACCTTCAACTTGGGAAAGGCTGCGTACACCAGGTTGTTCAAACAATGTAAAATGTTTTTGATTCGAAGCTAAATGGAATTGAACAGAAAAGCATCCACCCCAGTATATACGCCTTTAAGAAATGAAAACTTATAATCACACAGAAACTAGAACGTGAAGACTTATAGCGATTCTAGTCATAATTGTGCAAAACTGGAGACTACGCAGATGCTCTTTAATAGGTGACTAGATTAAACTGTGGTACATCCAAACAACGAAGGGACATTTAGCACGGAGAGGATCATGCTGTCGACACCCACAGTGGCGTGGGCGAATCTCACGGGCACTGTGCTGAGTGAAGCAAGGCAGACTCCGAGCTGACAAACCGTGTGATTCCATTTATATGGCCCTCTTGAAAAGACAAAATTAAAGAGATAGAGAACTGATAAGTGGTCGCCCAGTGTCAGGCATGAGGGAGCGTGTGACTGTACAGGAATAGTCCAGGGTTTTTGGTGGCGGTGGTCACACAAATCGAAGCATGTATTATAATTCATAGAACTGCACCCCAAGAAATCATCAATTTTACTATACGTTAATTAAGAAAATGAACTATACATAGGAAAAAACTGGCAGATAATACACAAAAATAGCAATGTTATTCGTTTAATTGGTGGTATAGTGTGCAGTTTCTTTATTTTCCCAATTTTATGTGAATAAATTATTTTTATAATCGGAATAAAATACGAACAGACCTACCCAGGAGCTCTAAAATCACAGTCGTGGATGAAGTGTGGGCAATCAGCCGATGGGGCTGTGCATCCTGGGCCACGGGCAGCTCCGACTGTGTCCAGGAGTCTGTTTATGAAATTAATAAAGCATGCAATTCACTTTAGAAAGCGAAAGTGGAAGTAATAATAGAATTTTCGCTTCTTGAAAAGCCTCTTTTATCTGGACAATTTATTCTTGTAGAATTCCCCATGTACTTTTGATGGCAAATAAACAGGATTGCATCATAAGGCAACAGTAACCCCCGTGTAAACATGCAGAGCTGGCAAGGCGAGTAGGGTTAGCGTTGCGGTCTTCTTTTTGCAAAGGAGAACTCGAGCTGTAGGGAGGAACGTGGAGTGCAGGCTATGTGGCTATAAAGATTCCATGTGCTTGAACTTTCCTCCCAGGAGGCAGACTGCACTCCTTTGTGGCTTGCCAAAAATGATAGGAAAAGTAATATTATCATTATCGTTCTCTCTTGAGAACTTCCTGGACATCATTAGAAACGAAATACATATTGCCTTGGGAGAAAAAGTATTCGTTTTCTCACGGAAAATTCGCACGTTCTTGGACGGTCGTGAAATACTCTCATCTGTTCGGTTTTTCAGGATTTTGTATTGCACGCTGATTCTGCCTCTGCACTACCTGGAGCCCTTCTTCTCATACATCTTCCTCAACCTGCAGCTCATGGTCCTGCAAATCCTTCATCTTTACTGGGGTTACTTCATCCTGAAGATGCTCAAAAGATGTATATTCATGAAGGTAAGGGCAGTCCGAATATTCTTGTTCTTAGCAGGTGGACTTCAGCGCTGGATGGACGGTGAGGCCCGAATACTGGAACGTTAGAGTTAAGTTAGGTAACCAGAATTCCTTTTTTTTTTTTCTTGTTTCAATCATTATTGATAAAAATTTCTATAAAATATAGCTAGCTTTGTCATTAAGTAGGTCTTTAGGGTGCTTTTAAGAAATTGCCTTTGTTAGACAAGGACAGGTTATTCAAAAATCGTAATCTAAAACTTTCTCATTGCTTGTTAAAGAGTCCTAATGTCTAATGAGTCTAAATTCACTCTGGTTTGGGACAAGCTGGATGGCGATAGCTGAGTAATATTTCCAAGCCTTATGCTCCCATTTTCTGAGCGTCTAAGTCACGCAGAACGCTCTCCCCTCAAGCTTTCTCTGGCTCTCTGAAATATGGTCCATCATTTGGCCGTACGTTTTTTCCGAAAACATCTTATTCCCTAAATAACAACAAATGGATAATACGTTTTTGACGATAGATGGTTTTTATGTTTGTTTTGAATCCAGTTCTGAATGTTAACTTGAGAACAGAGGAGAGGACGGCTTCAGAAATGAATAAGAGGCAATCAGTGCCTTTGGGGGAAAAGCCCAGTCGTCTAGTGCGTCTAGTGCGCACTACTAGCAAAGTGCTAGCAAAGTGCTAAAGAGAGGTCGCGAGGACTCGCTATGGAAGACAAAAGAGAAATTGACTCAAGGGCACTGGGTAAAGTGTCACTGACTAGGCAGAATTTGACTTGAGCCTCTAAGGCAAGTTAAAAAACCTCAGATCACAGCTGCTTCTTTGTCTGGAAATCAGACATCTAAGGAAATTATAATTAAGGCTCTCTCAAGGTGAAAGTTACAGCCGCCTCAGTTTCGGGGTCCATATACAATACAGCATTGTCTCGTAATCAGAATGAGTGACTTGTATGGGACGGATTTGCTGGCATTTGTCGGATGAGCTCATTTTCGATCAACTGTCTGATTAATTCATTTTCCTACCGTAGTAAATGTGTCTCGATGATCGCTGAAGAGTTGACAGGTGAAATAGACATTGCTTCTAGGTGTGGAGGGGTAGGAAATTGGGCTGCGTCTGGATTCATCTCAAACCGAATCCTGAAAGTTTTTTGTTTTTAACTAAATTCCCGACTTGAGCTCGTTTTTCTGCGAACAGACTCTCTTCATTAAGATCGGAGTGCCAAGGAGTTCCACTGAATGCTTCTGGTTCACTAATATTCTAAACAGTTTTTCTATGATCTCAGTGCAAGTTATTTTATCTCTAAGTGACTGATCAAGTCAGAGTAACTGATATAAAGATAAGAATTTGACCAGTCAGGCAACTGTACATCCAGGGGCCGGAGGAAAGGGAGGACACCGAACCGAACCTGTCCAAATTTGGGTCAAGCCTTCCTGGGGTCGCCGTCCCTAGGCAGAAGTGGGTTTCTGAGTAACTGGTGAGTGACGATCGCGACAGGCCTGGAAGGGAACCAGGCCGAACGAAACTTGGAAAGCAGACTCACTCTCGTTTGGTTCCATCCTGGCTCTCATGCGTCTGACTCTGGTGGGTCGTATGGGCCTAATTAAACACCCCGTGGGGCGGAGAGCTGTGGACGGGAATCGCTGTACTTTGGAAAAGCTGTTTTCAATTGCGATTTGACAGCGGCCGCGGAGGCCCCCACAGCCCTGATCATTGCAGGAGGATGACTTCAGCTGGCTCGCTTGTGCGCCCTGTTCTCCACGGCAGTGGCGAAACTGGCTGAGAAATGAGCTTATTCCTCCAAAGCCATAAAGCTGCCTTTCCAAGGATGCTATTTCGAGGCACAGCCGCATCGCAAAGGGGAGGAGAGGGGAGAGGCGGGAGCTGAAATTAGAGGAACAACTAGCAAGTCCGTTTTCGTCTCTATTTAGTAAATAGTTAGCATTTAATACATCCCTCAATTATTGTTGCTGAGGTGACTAAGTCTTGGATATGTATTAAATAGAATTGCGGAGGTTTGTAGGCCTCCAGGAATTTCTTTTAAATCTTATACAGAGATTGAGAATTTGTGCTTTCAGTTTTTTCTGCCTGATAGGCCCTTAATAGGTAATTTTGAATATGCGAATGCATACGACACTTGGGGAACAAACCACACTGTTTGGGGTAGAAAGTTACGAAAGAGTTTATTAACCTTTTTCTGGTCTCCATGAGTTTGCGTAGTAGACCAAAAAGACAAAAGTGATTATATTTCTTAAAAATAGGGATTTTTGAAATAGTCGCATTATTTTTCCTAGACGATAGGGTCATTGCAGGCATACGATGAATGAGGACCATCCACCATTTGCTTCCGTCGTCAAATACCTTAAAATAATAATATCACTGTACTCCCAGGACACTGACATATATATACCAGGGCTAGGAGGCATCTTGCTGCCTGCGAACAAGACTTGGCCCTGGAAATTAACTGGTTTCTATAAAATGGGTGATTTCGTGATGAACTACCAGCCCACGCACCAGATCACGACGTATGATGTCACGACGTATGACGTCATAGATTCATCTCGTCATTCCCTTTGCAAACAGGAAAACTGGTTTCAGAGTAAATTAGAAGGAGCATAGCAGGCTTTCGTTTAATATTACCTAAGAGAACGCGATTATCCTTGAGCTTTTATTTTCTCCATCCTAAATATCGTTCTGGGTGCTGGCCAGCGCCAGTGTGTCTCTGTGACATCGTAGGCTGGTACACAGCCAGGACGAGGCGGGAGGAGCTGCAACGTGTAGCCATTAGAGTCGAGGTGGAGAAACTAGCCTCTTGGCAACCTGCCCCAGCCATCTGCTCCCGACAGGCAGCGTCTCTTACGGTCACAGAATGACACGTGACTCACGCCGAACTGTTTTAGCTAAAGAAAGCAAGCTGTGACATCAGTGACATCGCATCTAATAAACACGAGGAAACCGAGGCCTCCGCCGCACGCATGGCAGTAATTCCAAGGCAAAGCCAAGGCTAGAGCCCGAATCTCTTAACTTGTGATATTTCTCCTTTTTTCAGTTATTCTTCATTCAAATAATTCTTCTCTATTTGAAATAACCAGCCAATTAATTTAAAATGCTTGCATGAAGTAAAAAAAATAGTGACTACATAAACAAATTGAGTAATCAAGATCGTACATTAAAATGCAGCACAAATCTTTGAACTTACGTTTGGACTTTTTAAAAGCCTAAGAAAAATGTTTCGTAATTATTTTTTTTATCCCAAAGGACTTCCTAGTAGAGCAGTTAGGGTAACAGGTAAGGGTACAGGTAATAGCTGAGGGTAAAGGCACTTGGAGGTTCAGGTCTCAGCTCTCCCGTCCACCGGCTGTGTGATCTATTCATCACCTCAGCGTCCTCACCCGCAGAATGGCATGAGGCTTTGCGTACCTGCCTTGGGGGATAAAGCCCGTAGTATCGGTGTCCAGCACATAGTAAGCACAAGGTCGTTGTCACTTGCCATCGTCATTATCATCATTATTAGTAATCGAGTTCATCGTGCCAGATCACAGAGAGCCTGTGAACTCCAGGTAGCCTGGCGGTTGGCTGTCAGTCAAGGCCTCTCTCACGTCCCTCAGACGCTGCAGCTGGCATCAGGCGTCAGCACCCTTGCCGAGCAGCCACGCCCTCCAGTGCCGGCTTCCTGATCTGTCGCCTGCCAGTTGATTCATGACTCACATTCTCTGTGATCCCTTTGACACCGTCTCTCAGACGTCAGCGCGTTAGGGAAAAAACACCAAATTTGTAGCATTCAGGAGGCCTCCAGGTGTCTTTTGTTGGTGGATAATAGTGGATGACAAACCTGCCCTTCGCCGAATGAGACATCATAAAAATACCACACAGACGGACGATTCAAGTCGAATATTATAAAAACACTCTTGGTTTATATTTCCAGATTTCTGAATATTTCTATAGATGAACTAGCTTAACCATCTATTCAAGAAACAACAGTGGATATTGTAAACTTGTAACGACAACAGAAATAACCGTGCAAAGTTGCTTGGCTTTAAGAGTTTCAAATTTGAATATTGTTCCCTACTGTAATACATTTGGCTCAGCCCCAGAATAGAGAATGCTATAGAATTCTAGAACCGGGAGAGACAGACCACTGGACCAGGCCACCACGACTCCTCAAGGCCGGGGTACTGCGGATTGTCACTCACTCCCACGCAGTAGTGTGCTCTCTGTTTTACAGAGGAAGGGAGCGAAGGTGACCGAAGAATTCACAAGACTGAGCCAAGGTCACAAGCGGGAAGTCATGCGACTTCAGAGGCCACGCTGGCTCCTCTGCCTCCCTGGTAGACCTGCGCTGTGACCCCGTGTCCTCACGACATGAGTCACGCGCTTTCCCCGTGTGTGCGTTTCTCTGCGTGTCTATTTTGTGTGGCTTACGCCTAGTTCTCACAAACTTCGTGATCTTGTCGATTTACTCGGTTAACTTTATCTTTATCGTCACCTTGCAAACAGTCAGTGAATGTGGTCCAGCTCCTCGTGGAGGATGCCCTAGGAAACCCTCGTTATGGTAAACCCATTAGGGGGGCCTCCGGCTTAAAGCAGCCACAAACCGGGGGTTTTATCACCTTGAAAAGCTCGAGTTGTTTCACCCTTTTCCCGTTTAGAAAAAAAAAAAAAAAGTGACACATCTCGGCAATGGCGTTAATGTAACGTCACGCGTGGGAACGCTATGTTTTCTAGGCTTTGACATGTTCAGCGTCGAGAATGACCGTATTTCGTAAAAACAGAATGCTGTTTTCTAAAAACAGAATGCTGGAAACGATGCCGTTTGTTTCCGAAGACCATCGATATACTAGAGCCATGCGAAAATTTTAGCAGAAGCGAGGGAGTTCGCAGCACACTTTGGGGGTGAGGTGAGGACTGTCGTCCGCGAGTTATGTCAGAGTCAATGCTGCAGCCATGAACACCGGCGGCGAGTATTCTCGGGGCAAATGGAAAATGGGTTAAGGAGTAAAAGATCCGA